TTATGTTTTTTCTCCCCAGGGAAAGGGATATTGTGGTTAGGTTATGAATATTGCTGTCTTTGTGAAAGAACTAGGCAATTCCTAATGAAACCAGCAATGAGCAGGTTCAAAGCAAATTCAGAAAAAGATGTATTTTTTCCTTCAGTGGACACGTAAACTGTGAAACTCCTTGGCCCAGGAGGCTGTGAATTGTAAAAATTTCCATGGGTTCAGGAACTACATCAAATTGCCTTTATCTACAAAATTGTATAGAAGAGAAGAATATATCTAAGGTATTTTTCATTATTACATACAGCCTTTAAGATTTAAATAGAAGATTATCACTGATTCGGGAACTGCCTGCTCATTGGAGTCTGGGGCAGTAGTAGTAACCCACAGCTCACAATGGGCTTTCCCAGTCTCTACAGTGACTGAATTCAAACTGCTTGACTGGAACCGAGTTACTTGATTGTTGCAGAGACAGTCTTTTGGAGTCGGTTTTCTTCAGTCAGGCCAAAGCTTAGTGCTTGAGTGGGTCGAGAAGGTCAATGAAATGATAACTGGTTGTAGTGAGACCAAACTGGGCAACCCACGAGAGAGCACCTAGGCTGCACTTCTGCATGAGCTATCAGTGGGAGAGGAAATGCCATCCAACAGCTGTTTGCAGTCCTAGCCCCAGAGGGGTTGGAAACTGCCCACTGATGTCAAATTGGAGTGCAAATGAGTTTCCATTGCAAGCAGACCAGCCTGTGATGGTACCCAGTGATATCTCAGCTTGGCTTAATCGAACTGCACCTTTGCCTTGCTGTTACCTACCAGTGGGTAGCGAGAGGCATGCAGAGATCATGAGATACCCCAGGCATCAAATGATTACCTTTGCATCTGAACATGGAGTCAAAGAGCAAAAGTCTTGTGTGTGAATGTCCTTCAGAAAAGACCAGGAGGGACCCCGTTCATTAGGGAGAATTTGGTGCAAATGAGAAGTGTGATGAAAGGGTTTTTTTTCTGAATTGGGAGTTCACCTGAGCTAAGAGCGTGCCTGGCACCAGCCTACTGCCATTCATTTCTTTTCTCAGCCAAACCTAGTCATATCTCAGAGCCGTGCCAGAGCTCTGGAAGTCATGTTTATTCACGAAGGAAAGTTACTCTCTGCTGCTTCCTAGATAAGCTTTGACAGTATATTTGCGGTAAGTGTAGATATGACTCAAATAAATGTTTTTGTGCTCTAGTCTGTCAGTTCTGTAAACCACTATGTACCTGTGCCTCATGATAATTGACCTGTTTTCTGTTTATTAACCTTTTAAAGGGAGAGGAAATGAGGGCCTGAACTTTGATTCGTAATTAGAGAAGACAGTGGAAAAGGTTATCACCTTCTGCAGCTGTGGTGGGGCTTCCTAACCCACTGCAGCCAGGACTGTGTCAGTTGTCTTCAGCCACTTCTTCTGAGTCAGAGCCTGTTAGAGGAGGGCTCTTCAAAGTCTAGCTGAGGTTGATGTAGCCCTTGGCTTGCATTTGGGGCACCTGGCTTGCAAAGAGGGAGGCTGAGCTGCTGAATGTGAAGACCTGAGCTCCAGCATGTGGCTGACAGTCTCTGTATGGTTCCTTGCTGGTCCTCCTGGAGCAAGACATCAGGACCCCATTTCAGAAGGGAGAGAGTTGACTGGTAGTAATCACACTAACTGCATGGATTACAGTGTAGTGATGAGCAGTTCGATGTGCTTATCTGAGGCTAGGTTAAAAGGCGGCTTCCTTAGAGTTGTGAATGATTTCTCCCTGCAGCCCTCCAGAAGATAATTTGACTCCAGAGAGCACTTCACTATCTACCAGGGAACAACAGGACAAAGCTGCAAGTCATGGTTATAATAGTTGAATTTGAAAATACTCTTTTTTTTGTATATGTATGTGTGTATACGTATATACTTATAATGACAAGAGTCTAAAGAGTGTACCTGATTATGCAAAGACATGGTAAATGCTACCGTCCTGAAAAAGCCACAAGCTTGTTTTTACACAGTCTTTCTCCAGACTCTCTTGTGATCCCTTTCAAAGCAAAGTACAGCCCTTGGCAGTGTGCTTTCCTTGGCTTTTGATAACAAGCAAAGCAGTTCTTTTGACTGAAATGGAGTTGAAGGATGGGTGTATTCATGGCTCATTTGCACCCACTACCTTGGGTAAGGCTTGATAAATACCTTCGCATTCTTCCTGTGGACACTGAGTGCAAGGAAGAAAACAAAACTTAGAATTATTTAATGGAGAAGCACTCAGCAATCACCAAACAATGTTTGATGAGGCAAAATAAATTGTCATCCTTATTACATCCATGAAGGCCAAGAGATGCCACAGGGAAGACAGGGAATTCCCTTTTTCAAGGCACATTGCAGCTGTTTCTGCCCTCAAAGACCTTTTTTGGGCATTGGTCTGTCATGGTGACATGACTGAATATTGCCTGCCAGCCTCCTGATCCCAGCAGTTTTCCAGGGTGAGATCTATCAGTTTTGGAGAAAGAAAACCATTTTCTGGGAGGCCATTTGATAAACATTGTCTGTGTCCTGGTTTGGATGGACGGGCACAAACATTCCCCTGATGTTGTAACAGGATGACTACAGGGCAAGCAGCAAGCATTGGGCTGCAAACGCAAAACATCTTGCAGGTATCCGTCTTTGTATTGTTCCAGTTCATTAAACTCGAGTTACTCATGCCAGCCATCTTCTAGCGGTTGGAGAGAAAAGGACACCTCCAAAGAACAATTCATTTTCTGAACTTTAGATAACCATCCTACAGTGACATGGAGTGCCAGCCAGAACTCTGGTTTCCATTGGCTTCCTTAGGTATACACGTCTGACTTCTAGATGCATAAATGTAGGGATATGAATCCCACATTTAAAAACTGGACCCTCCCAAGCAGCTGCAGAAATATCGTCAGCACATCTGGGGAAGCAATAAGGAAGAAGAGTGTTGGAAGAACTAACAGACAGATATGAGAGAGGTCTTCACAGAGGAAATAATTTCTGAAGATCCACTTTGTGTGTCTTGCAAGGCCAGTCTTGTGTGTCTTATTTTAACAAAAGATAGCTTTTGTTACAAAACTGAACACCTAAAAACTTTTTTCATACATCACAGGTTGTAGTGAAAAATGCTAATACGGAAAAAGATACAGATCACAAAAATTCTCCAAGTGCGTAATTCAGGACATTTAAAAAGCCATCTGATACTATCACCTTGTATTTTATTTTGCATTATAACCTATCCGGAGGTAATAGGTGTACTATAATATATTGAGGTTGATGGAGGAAAAGATTGTGGAACATTAAAGTTCCTGTCATGAAATCATCTATTACACAGATGGAATAAATATCTAATATCTTAATACTTTTGGAGCTGCTGGCTGTTTGGCAGAAGACAAGTATGATGCTGTGCAAACTGAGCTCTGCACCTGATATTGGAAACCTGAAAACTGAATTTGAATGAATACTACAGAAGTGCATGCACAAAGTAGATACCGTCAGTTATTCCACTTTTCAGGCTCCGATAAACTCACCTCAGGATTTCATTTGAAAAGTTCTGTTTGTTCATGAAAGAAGGAAGGAAAAACCTGCAAAATAACTTTGAAAGAGAGCTGAGGGTTCTTTTTCATCTTCAAAGCATTTCTGTGTGCTCTCTTTATTGATCTGAGACAGCACGGTGCCTCAGTCTGAATAGACTGATGATGACACCAGCCTTTTTGTTAGCTCAAGTAGTAAGTGATGGTTTAAAGGAGGAATTTCAGTTCAGGATATAATTACCAAGAAATGCAGCTTGACAGTGGTTTTCATGGTTCTCTTTGCTTGCATGTGAAAAGTATTTTCTTCCTGCTTCATATTCTAGTTTCTCTTGTTAGGCTGTTGACCTTAACAGCAACACGTTAGTCACATTTGGGGAAGTGTTGCAATCTAATGGGGCGTGACAAATAACGGAGAGCAGAGGTGCTATAAAAAAGTGATGTCTGTTGGCAACCCATCTGTCTAATCCAGGCAGCAACTGAAATGCTTGTCTGTTGGAAATTTAAAGGGGGAAAAAAATGTTTTCAAAATTCTAGTAAGAACTCTAAAATATGTAACATGATGAGGCAAAAACACATCTGATTTTTTTTTAATTCATGTCTGGCTACTCCTTTGGACTTCAGTGATAATGTTAGATTATTCAACAGTGCAGCATGTATATGACATCATTAAGGTCTTTTGAGAAAGCAGAAATAAAACGGCAAAATCAGAACAATGTACTATAACTCTGTAGGATGGACATGTGATTTCTTGTCAAAAAAAGTTTTTATTCTATCCAGAAAATCTTCAGAAATACTTAATTTTAACAAAATGCTGTGTTTTCTGCCTGAAATTCATCCCATGGTTTATACCTTCCTCCCTAGTTTGGATAGCTAGGAGCATACCGCCTTGCACCACTGTTCCATAGAGAGCATCTCCCGGTGACAGCACTCTCGCTCCTCAGCCTCCAGAGGTGTTTCGTGCCTTCTCCCTTTTTAAGGAAGAAAACTTCTTCTGAGGCAGGGATTTGGCTCCTGATCCCTTGATTGCCATCAGAAAAAGCTAGAGGCAGAAGTTTGGGGGAAGAGAGAAGGAAGTGAAGCATGTCTCACATGTTCAGACCAGGTGTTTTAGTGCACAGGGAGAGATAAGGGTAAGGAAGAGAGATATTTAATTAGGCATTTCTGCCTGTTTCATCAAAAAAAGGCACTCTTCTCTGTTAACTCTGATTTGTCCGGTTGTTGCACCAATCTGCTGTTCTTTCTGTGCTGATTTCTGGAAAATTACAGACACCACCAGTGCTGAATTTCAGGGACTGGGGTAGTTGAAAGCCATATGTTTAAATAAAATATGTCTGTGCCTTTCCTTCCAAAAAATGCCTGCACCAAGGTGGTAGGCTCCACACGCCTTTGCACAGCTGCTCTGCTCTGTCCTGGTTCCTTTACTCCATCCAGCAGGTACCACTCATGCTTGTTATAACATCTGCTTTTCTCTTTTCCCCAGGTTGCAGAAGGCAATGGGACAACATCACATGCTGGCCTGAAGCGGAGGTGGGAGAAGTTGTGGTACGGTCGTGCCCAAAGTACTTCAGATTCCTCACCACTGTTCTCGGTAAGCAAAACCAGACAGCTCATCTCACAGAAATGGTCTTACAGCTTCACTGCCTGGGGAGTTTCACATCATCTCACAGAGGAGGCTTCTTGGTATAACGAGAGGGAGAAACAAGCTCTTTGCACAAAGTAATGGAGGTTTCCAAGCCATACATGAATGCCCAAACTGTTAGAGCACCCTCCCTATCCTTCTTGCAGCACCACATACTACTCTAGATCACAAGGATGCAAAAATGGCTCCTGGTGAAATCAGATAATATGGATGTTGTGCAGTGAGAATTGAATCAACCTGCGTAATAATGTTTGTTGTACAAAATAAACAGCTTAGCACTGTAATTAATTAATTCTCTGACATAAAATAAACAAGCTGAAAATGTATGGAATAAAGTATCTTTCTGCTGAAATGACAAATTTGGCCAGCGGCCAAGAAATTCACCTGACAAATAATGGGCAGGGAAGGTTAATGAGAAGTAGTTTAACTCGTTGTTCGGGATGTTCTGGGAAGTTTTAATTTAAAACTTGGACCTCAAGGGCCGTGCTGCAACAGGATGCTTTATCTCCTGGTAGTTTATAGTCATCGCTTACTATTTTTATTATAGTAGCCCTGCAGGCCTCCACACAGAATTAAGCTCTTTTGCACTGGAGATTATGCACCGAGCTGGTTAAGTCTCCACTTTTACAGCCTTGCAGTCCAAACACACGTGATAGATAGATTATGAATGGGAGTAAGGATACAATATCATCGCTGTTTAACAGATCAGGACCCTACACTGAGTAACCAGCACATGCTGACTTACCTAAGGCCACACCAAAGTCTTAGCAGAGCCAGAAGGGAAATTCAAAATCCCGAGTCCTAGTGCCATTACCTCCCTGTTTCCAAAACTCCTCAGTAATTCGTCACTGCTTTGTCAACACCCAAAGGAAGCAGGCAGAAGCTGCTGTAATACGACATCTTGCAGGACAAGACCCCTGCGCATTGCTCCAGCCATGTGGAAAATTGCCTGCTGTAGATTCTTTGTGCCTTCTCCTCTCCTGAGCACAACATTGGCTCGCTGGGATTTAGAGACCCAGCAGAGTTAGTTAAAAGGGAAGGAAAAAGTTTTTTCTAATACCTCACCTCACTAGAGCTGTGCAATGACAAAAGTAGTATATATCCACATACAAATTATACATATGATCATATTTAATATGTATATAATATATATGATCATACATATATGTGTCATTGTGGCTGTGTTTAACTTAAGCTAGTGAAAGTGGGATGCCTCTAGTTGTGTGCTAGGACAGACTGATGAGACTCAATAAACTTGCCCATTCAGTGGCATCTACTACTCTCTGGAATGTCCTAGGACATCTCAGCTGGTCTCCAGGTTTACCTGCACAAAGGTGCAGTTCTCCCATAGTTCATGTGCCATTAGCTGTCTCAGGTAATTAAGGTCTCCAAAGACCTATGCTTAGGCAAGTGAATGGTTCCTATTCTGCAAGAAGTCCACACTCCACTGAGTCTCCACCGAGAGCAGTCAGGGCTGAAGATCTCTTTCAATGTCAGTTGCTGCATTGCTACATTTTCTCTTGCGGGTAGTAGAACTGCAGACACTAAGCTCGCAGACAGGGACCTACACTGTAGACACTGAGGGGTCCATTCAGTTTCCTTAACGTAAGCATCTGGTGCCATTTGAGATACCCTGGGGGATCTAAGAAAGCCTTAACGATGCCTCAATTGGTGCTATTATACCTGTATTTTGGGAAAGGACTTTTAACCTGGAATGGCATTCGTATCAACTGATTTTAGAGTTTTCCATAGATAAGCCTGTCTCTGAGATTGTTTTACAGTCAGTGGTGAGAAATAGACTCTTTAGAGGTGCAGTTCAGCTGACTTCCAGACTTCAATGTAAGGATGAGTTGAATAGCATCGTTAAACTGTGTGTTTCTCTCCATTTATAACTGAATGATTATAGAGTGGCTCTGGCAGATGTGAATGTCTTGAAATACAGGTGAATCCCACCTTAGCAGATCATACCTGCTAGCATCTCCTTCTGTAAAAAGAGAAACCGATGCCATTTCCAAAGCAGAAAAAACAGCTTTGATTTTCTCTGAGCTATGCACTTTGTACAATCATATACAAATGTTGAAATCAGATGTGGTGTTAAATAAAGGGAGGGTAAGATTGCCTCTTGGTTGATAGGCTTTGTTGCAAAATTAATGCCATTAAAATTTCTGAAGCCGTTCTTCCTTTGTAGTAGTGAGTATCAATGAACAGCTTTCAAGGAAATCAGTCATCTGGTTAATATTTCTATCTTACTCTTTGATCTCTTTGAAGGAACATGAAAGCTAATACCAAAGATGTGAGCAAGAGAAAATCTTTTTTATATTTGTAGCAGGAAAAGGGTGAAATACTGGGGAAAAAAGGGTTAATGTGATTTTCTTGCCTAATGGAGAATATTCTCTTCAAATGACTAATATCCCATCTCACGGTAAATAGAGGATAAAATATGGCATTTAGAAACCCTAAAATGCCTAGCAAAGTCCTGATCTCATTTGACATTAAATTTTTATGCCATTCACAAATCTAGATTTTCATTATTTCATGACATTCATCAGTTCCATTTGAAGATGGATGAAAATATTTTTGGCACTTTTCATTATTAAAGTGCATTACTTGCTATCCCTTGACCAAAGCGTACCAGCTTACTTTCAGTACAGAGAAGATGACATGTGTAATAAGGTTTGTTTCCTGCAGTTTCTCCAAAAGCAAATTGTCCGCCACGCACAAGTTAAACAGTAAAAATCAGTACTCACAGTTTTTAAGCTTCAATTATGAGATTAATTCACTTGAGGGGATGGGGATGGGAACAGACAAGCTCTGGAATTCCATTCACTGAGGTTGAGAACTTTTTGGGTTTCGGGATTGCCAAACTTGTTTTTGCCTCTGGCTCTCTAACTTTACTTTTGCTCTCCTTCCCCTTCCCTCATGAATGTGTTTTACTTCTCTTTATAGTATCATAGAATCATTAAGGTTGGAAAAGACCTCTAAGATCATCAGGTCCAACCATCAACCCAACACCACCATGCCTACTAAACCATCTCCCGAAGTGCCACATCTATACCTTTTTTGAACACCTCTGGGGATGATGACTCCACCACGTCCCTGGGCAGCCTATTACAATGCCTTACTGCTCTTTCAGTAAAGCAATTTTTCCTAATATCCAGTCTAAACCTCCCCTGAAGCAACCTGAAGCCATTGCCTCTCGCCCTATTGTCAGTTACTTGGGAGAAGAGACCACCACCTGCCTCGCTACACTCTCCTTTCAGGTAGCTGTAGAGAGCAAGAAGGTCTCCCCTTAGCCTCCACTGCTCCAGACTGAACAACCCCAGCTCCCTCAGTCACTCCTCATAAGACTTATTCTCCAGACCCTTCACAAGTCTCGTTGCTCTTGTCTGGACACACTGCAGCACCTCATTGTCCTTCTTGTAGTGAGGGGCCCAAAACTGAACACATTACTCGAGGTGCATCCTCACCAGTGCCGAGTACAGGGGCACGATCCCCTCCCCACTCCTGCTGGCCACACTATTCCTGATCCAAGCCAGGATGCCATTGGCCTTGGCCACCTGGGCACACTGCTGGCTCATGTTCAGCCAGCAGTTGACCAGAACGCCCAAGTCCTTTTCCACTGGGCAGTTTTCCAGCCACTCCTCCCCAAGCCTGTAGCATAGCGTGGGGTTGTTGTGACCAAAGTGCAAGACCCAGCACTAGGCCTTGTTGAACCTTTCCTGCTCTGCATCCCTTCCTTATGCTTAGTGGGCCTACTGACTGCAAGGACTTCAGTTCTTCTTTAATTCTGGTACATTCTTGTTTTCAGGCCGTCTAAAACAGAGCTTACTGGATTCTGCCTCTCTGCAGACAGGTAATACCTGCTTCTAGAGTTACCTCAGGCATGGCAGCTTGCCTGTGCTGAGCCAGGCACACCAATGTGTGCGTGCATTTGCATAGTTCAACTCAAAATCATTCAATGTTGGTCAAGTGCATTGAAACAATACCAGCACTGTTATCAGATATCACTGCAGCTTCAGCTGTATCTTCCTTCCCTTGCTCCATGAGCTCCTGATTTCCACCCGTTCTCCAGTACATAATGTCTTCATCTTCTTACTTGTTTTGTTCATCTTCATCATTTTTACACCAAACCTCAGCTCTTACCTGGTGTTAGAAACACACTGCCAGACACTGGGAATGCGTGATACGATGAACTTGTTGGTGTTGATGGATCCTACACCATGAATTTATACTTTTGCCAGGCTAGTAGACAGTGCACATCTTCACAGGTGTAACCAAACTATGACAGTGCTGTCTGGAACAGATGTTGTCATCAGTGCACTTTTACGTGGATAGGAAGCCATTGGAGAGTTTAGCTAGCATTGCCATCCAGTACTGGTTCATGCCCTGCCATTGACCTGTTGCATTTAGGCATAACCTGCTCCAACAGACTGAAATGCTAAAATCATATCATAAGAAGACAACAGAAATTCTGAGAGCTATTGTGACATTCATGCACAAATAAAGAAGTAATGCAAGCAAGCAGTCAGAAGATTTATATAGAAATTTGCCCGATATATCATAGATTACAGATTGTGACAATACCATTTTGAATGCCTACCTGAAGCCTTTATGAAGTTTCCACATGTCCATTTGAATATCAGACATCATCATTCCTCAATCATGCCTTGAACCAGCCAGATACTTGGGCCTGGGTTAGTATCTGAAAGGCTCCTGAGATAAACTGTGAGCCACTGGAGCAGCGTAGCTTCTCCATGGCTACTTTTGTTCCTCCAGAGTACAAGAGGGTAGATGACTTGCCTCATCCTACTGTGGTTTCCAAATATGTTGCCGTTGCTTTCCAGTCTTCTGCTGTTGCACGTAAAATAAAAAGATAAACTGAAGCTCTGGAAGATAGATATTCTGGTATACAAAAAGCCCATAATACTGGAAGACCACACTAAGACTGT